AATTATACTCAGATTCCTCCAATCCAGCCTTTCTACCGCTACTCTTTGGCTCCTTTACTGCTGTCTTTCAGCCACACCACTGATCTTATGGTAGGAGAAAGATCTACACCTAGCCTTCTTGGACAAGGTCGAAACATCTTGGAGGCCCCGTTTGTAAATAGATGCCTTGGTTGTCCAAAATCGAAAAGAGTATGCTTCGGCCGCCACCCGGGCGAAATTCAAAATTTCCTACCAACTGATAATTTTTTATGTGTCCCGCGGGCTCATATATGACAGTTCAGTTGCGAGCGCCGTCAAACACTTTCCAAAAAAAAAAAAATCATTCAAATCTGAGTAAATTGTTGGGACATAATGGAAATACAGTCAAACCTGTGTAAGACGGCCACCCATTGTCAAGGAGAAAAGTGGGCGTATGAAACAGGTGGCCGTCAAAGGCAGGACTGATCAAGATGAAGAAAACAAACCATTCCCATCTGTGGTCCCAATCGAAAGTAGCGGTATTGTTGTTGTTGATGTTGTGGATGGTGGTGGTGGTGGTGGTTAGTATTTTGTTTGTAATTTTTATTTTGTTGCTGATTTTGCACACAAGGGTGACAATAAATCGAAATGTATCAGACGAGGAAGACCGAGTGCCATGTTAAAACAAACACATGGGTCGCCACCACTTGGAGAACGAGCGACAAGTTCATGTTGACGTCCTTTGTTACAGACTGGGTAAACAGTGACCACTCATCTCACTTACGATTCGTGTATGAGTTCTGGCAGGGGCTTATGGGTTATGAGGGATCACACGCTTATCTCACCAGCAGCTGAAAATTGGTAGCTATTGATTTTGGTCAACAGTTGGAGATGCCTACGCAACATGACCGGTTGGAGGGACTACCTAACAACGACAGGTGATTGAATTATGACGTCTCGCCCACAACGCCAAGGGCCAATGCACAATTTATGACAAAACGTAATGGAGTCACTAAGATGGCCGTCTAAGACAGGTGTTATTGCTTAGTGTGATAGGGGTTGTGTGTTGAAATATGGTGGCCGCGGCCGCGTTGGACAGAGGTGCTCGTTTTACACAGTTAAATTATATAGAAAAAACGCAAGGGGGGAAATGGAAAGTGGCCGTTTGTACAGGTGGCCGTCTTATAGAGGTGGCCGTCTTATAGAGGTGGCCGTCAGGGCAGGTTTAACTGTACTGACATTCACAGTGGTGGTATAAAACTGTAGGAGAAGTTTGGGTAAGAAGAGAATTTGACTTCTGTAGCACGAAATCCCGACTGCCCGCGGCCTCTATCTCGTTTCACTGTTAATCCTGCTTTTAAAAAAAATTAATTTTTAAAAAGTAAAACACTAGGACTAGGTGACTAGATGAAACACATCTATATAGGCCTACTCATAAGCTGAGAAATAAACCGAGTGCTGTATTTTGTTGTAGCGTGCTCCTTAAAATTGTTTCCTCAAACATCTATTGTCGTGATTTCTCCTCTTTTGTATTTGAACTGTCTTGTAAAACCTCTAATCCTCGGCACTTATATGATCTTATTGTGCTGCAAGTAAGTACCATAAAACTCTTAAACTGAAACTTTTAAAACAGCAGCTTGGTTTTTGCTGTAGTCTGTGTTGATAGAGTTAGTTGCCAATAGACGATTAACAGTGGTTATGGATGGTGAAGCAGAGGCCATGAACTTGAGGCGTAGCTAGTTTTATAATAATGATTTGTTATGTACCCCTGTCAGGTTTACAATGATGCAATGTGTTTCTCATGGGTGTGTGCATTCGCAGGCTACCAATTTGTTTTCTCTTTCATAACATCCTTGCTAACAGTGGCATGGGCATACTAGCTTCCGACTGGTTTTGTAAGTTTCAAAGGCTTTGTTCATAAATTCAGATGAAGGGCCAGTTTCAGACTTGTATGGCTGGATGTGGACTTTAGCTGGGGTTTAAGTTAACACTCACCGCAGAACTCACGCCTTAAAGCATTTGGTCTACTTGATGCATGCTTCTTGTCCTGATATAATAGACCAGTGCCTAATTACTGTATTCTTAGGTCCCTCTATAGTTAACCCCATGGACCGAAGGGCTTCCCCAAGTGTTATTATAAATTTTTAGAAAAGACGTACCCTCCAGTGTACTGAACATACTCCTCAGCTCGCAGTAGAGCAAATCTAGCAGCTGACCCAAAGAAACCCAGGTGCATGAGTCCTGTAGGTTGGCAGGACTTACTTTAAAACACTTTATCACTGAAGTCTGTCAATTGGATCAGCGCTGAATGCAGACTGGTGTGGTCCTGCCACTGTCTTTGAAAGGTGAGAAGGACAAAAATTCTGAAAATGTAAATTCTTTGTCAGGTCAGCACTGGGTACATTAAATTATTCTGATAACTTTATTTTAGTTTTATTCGATCTCAGTTTATGTCATTTGGACTGACCTTTGATTCTTTGTAAAGTCATGCATGTTAATGAATATTTCTGTCTTTTCCTCTCATTGTTCAGGGCTGGCGTTGGAGTGCTACGTGTGTCAGAATCAGATGGACAACAAGGACAAATGCATCAAGACCTCCGTTCAGTGCAGAGAGGAACAAGACACTTGCCTCACCTTCATTGAGTGGAGAGGTCAGTCGCACTTCTTTTCTTTGAAAAACAACAATTTTTGCTGCTCAGGCCTCTTTTTTTAATCATTAATAGCGGTACTGAACATGTGCCCAAGTTAGTTTTTGAGGTGATTTTCCTGAGTCAGATGAAAAACAAAAAGTTCAAATATAAAGAGCTCACTGAACTGAATTTCAGGAGGACTGACAAGCAGTACATGAATTGTGCAAATGTGTTGATAACCGAGGTACCTACAGTGCTGTTTTAGTCTTTCATTTAATAGTGTGATGGTGCTACCATGATACAGGATGATTGTTGTCTGCTACTGATTTTTTTCTTCTTCACGTGTGTATCGTGGTTGCCTGCCTATGAAGAGTTAAGAGTTGATCTTCAGTTGCATCTGATTGAATGGTTAAGCTCTTTGGCTATTTTTGGGGGCTTCAGTGGCTGAGTGGTTAGTGAGTTCAAGCTCAGAATAAATGTCAAGCATATGTTGATGACAGAACATGTAAGTGGATGATCACTGGGGTGTGTCCTTGAGCAAAATATGAAAATCATAGCTAAAAAACAGGGTATTTCAATGGCAACCAGCAATGGCCATTTTGGAGTGTATCTATGTGTTTATGTCTTCATGTGTGTACACTTGTATTATGTATATAATATGGGCGCATGGGAAAAACCAGTGATTCAGGTTTTTGCAGTTTCGAGATGATTGAAAAACAAACTTGAAAGACTTACAACTCTTTTTCTGCTACAATGATCTCTCTACTGTTTACATTGAGTTCAAGTAGGACCATTTTTGTTGACAGTGAGAAATTTTCACAGTCCTTGTGTTATCTGTTGCTCGATTAGAGCAAAATAGTAAAATTCTGTAGGAAACTGACAGTACTGGTTTTTCTCTTGTAATTTAAAGCTGTTGGCAAAGTCTCCATCTTCTTAGAAATCAATGAATTGTGAGTTTCTTTGTTCATTGTGAAAGCAAACAAAACTAAATGATTAAAGCAAGAAAATTGTACACCGTTTTATATTTACCTTGTTTATTCTTATATTATATTATCTAATATTCTTGCTCGGATGACGACTGAGTCATCAGACTCTTGTGTGGCACTTGGTCCTTCATGTCTGCATATTTGGCAGCTTTGTTAGTCAGCGGGCTGTTATAGAGGGGTTTAAGGGGCTGGAGTCTTGTAGCGCTTTTCTTTTCCACCGGCTTCATTATGATTGCAGTGTGAAACGGACCATTCCAGCTCTCTCTATACTGCATTAGTTGTGGATGGGCCTGTGAGATGCAGATTTCAAGCAGAGGTCGAGTGTGTATAAGGCAGGAGACATGGGTGGATGGTTGGCGGGTGCTCTGGTGTAGTTTGCTTCATTTCCTATGAAACATCTATCGTCCTTATCTCCCCTCCTTCTGTTTGTTTTATGTTTGTTACTCTCTTGTAACACCTCTAATTTTCTGGCGCTTATATGACCTTATGCAGTTGCGAGCGCCGTAAAACCTCTTCTATTTAAGCAAACAAACAAGCATATATACCTTGTGTACTCGTTTTGCAAGGCGACTTCGATTCCCCGTGACTTCGTTCCTATCGGCCATTTTGGGGCCCTGGAACGAGCATAATATCGTTCAATGTTTACTCTCTGCCCTGACTGGTTCTAAAAAAAAGTGCGTTATTTTGCAGTTAACGGAAATCCCACGGCGTCTTGTGCTGTGTCATCACTTGTTACGTTCGAAAGAACCAATCAGAAAACGAGAAATAATAGGGGTGGAGGAACGTGCTTTGTTCCTGTGGATCTATTTAAAGCGTATTGTTGTGCGATGCAAGACGGCGAGAAGAATAACGACGGATTTGACAAATTCATTTAAGTTTTTTCATTTTGTCATCAAATCTTAACATGGTATGTTAAAAAAAAGCTATGGCCGAAAAATGTTTCCCCCCATTTAATTAAATTTAAACCAAGTAATGATTAATATCGTTCTGTGTTCCAATGGTCAAGTAGTTGTAAATCTAGATGTGACCGCGCGTGCTTGGCTAGATGTCAACGTGAGGGAAAAGTTTGATGTAAAGATATGTTCCAAAATGATGACAAACTTTTATCCATTATGTGCCATCGGATGACCGCTATCGTGGTTAGATTCTATGTTCAAAAAGTATTTTGGTATTTTGCAGAGAGTCATAGTAAATTGTGAATTAAGTGGCATTTTTTCACCATTAGCATGCATTATGAGTCAAACTGAATCTCCTGAATTTTTGTTTGCAAAAATTTTCAAAAAATGAATTAAAATATGAAAATGGAAAGTTTTTAGTTTCTTTCGGACATAACTATGATGACACAAATGCGAACACAAAGATATTCAGAATTTATTTTTTCCTGTGATTTAATATACTCTCCATGCTTATGTTTGAAAATCAAAGCAATGCGAGAACTATTAAAATAATTTTGAGTTCCATAAATTACTTTTCAGGGCATTTTTCATTTTGTTGTGTCATGATGGTTATGCTTGAAAGATATTTGATATTTTGCAGAGATTCATAGTAAAATATGAATTAAGTGGCATTTTTTCAATCATTAACTTGCATTGTGAGTCAAATTGAGTCTTCTGAATCGTTGTTTGCCCAAATTTTCGTAAAAGAAGTTAAGATCTGAAAATGGAAAGTTTTTCATTTCTTTCGGACATAAATATGTTGACACAAATGCAGACACGACAACATTCAGAATCTCTTTTTTCTGTGATCCTCACCATTCTATATGGCCTTCATGCTTATGTTTGGTAATTAAAGCAATAAGAAAACTGTTAAAACAATTTCGTATGTTCAAATTCTAAAAAATGTGACATCATAGTTATGTCCGAAAGAATTTGACTTGATGTTATGTACCGCCAGTTACACTGCTTAGCATGCCATCTGTAGGTCTGTAAGTACATGTTTTTGTAGGAGATGTACACGAAAAGAAAAATTCAAGTAAAAACGAAACATTAAAAACTTTATCATCAACCCTCTGTGCTACATTTTAGGTATCCACCTATTTGCAAAAGCTCATTTATATTGTAAACCTCTTGGGGAATAATAAAGTAGAATTTATCTATTGATTATTTTATTTAAATGTCATGAGTTAAATTCCTAGATGAGGAAGATATTAATTTTATTAAGTGTCTGTCTTTGGGGGAAAGGGGGGGGGGGCTTTGTCGCATGTGGACCGAGTTGACCTTCACTGGCAGAGTTGAAGTGGTCTGGCTCATAAATGATGTGAATATGAGTTGATCTGGTGGTGGGTCATAGAGGTAAAAAGTAAACAGAGACCGTTAGAATGAGGTATCTTTGTATGTGTTTCAGCGCCAGACTTCTGGACGCCACGTAGTGAAAAGATTCACTACATCCACAAGAACTGCAGCAGTTCCTCGTTCTGTGGCGCAGCACAGACTGATCTAGGTCTGCGATGCATGCGGGACTGGTATCGCGACTGGCAGTGTGTGGAGTGTTGTCAGGGTGATCGCTGCAACTTTTATGTCACGGTGAGTACTGAACTGATACTGGCTGGAAAATATAATCAATAAGGAGATAACTGTATATCTTGGTGTGCAGAGTGGATAAACTTTTATCACACTGAGTATTGAATTGGTGGTGAAAATATAATTAATAATTTTATGAGATAAATTTATATTGTGGTATTTGGAGTCCCGTGTGCGATAAATCTGGTTCTTAGGGGTTCAGTATTCTAACATGATTTTGACTTTTCTTTGGGTTAATTTATTTTGATAGTATTTTTATTTGGACTTTTACATTCTGCCAAGTTTGAACTTAAAGAACAGAACTTAAAGAACATTTACTGTTCTATCTAGTGGGAATGAAAAGAAATTAAGTTGGTCTTTTATTGTACGATTTAGGTTCTTAGACATACAGGTGTTGCCGAGCTTCCTGAGCCTGACAAAAGCTGTCTATGTATCCCTGAATTGCTTTTTGAAACAGATCTGATATTTTTCTCTCATGTGGGTTGTTGGTGGATGCCTTTCCTTTTCTGTTTGTTTCGGTTGAATTATTAAAACTATGTAGTGCCACCACTGTGGTAATGTGTTTCTCATTTGCTGTCACAAATGGCATGTTATTTTGTTTAGATCGTACACTCTAATTCTTAGTTTGCGCGTCAGGATACAGGACCATTGCATTTTTTCAAACAGTTCTGTAGAAGCTCCAAATTGATATATATATATATATATATATATATATATATATATATATATATATATATATATATATATATATAAACTTAATTTAGAATAAAACTTCTTCTTGAGCATCTAAAGATCTTGGGCCACAAAAGATAACATTTTTATTGTCCAGCAATCAAAGGTATGTAATGAAAGGTATATAATTCCATTTTGAATGAAAAATCTACTTTTTCATTGCCTGTCAAAATTAAATAAACCTTTCCTGAAATACTGGGAGCATTTAAGTGTGTCATAAAAATTGAATTTGTGAAGCAAATTATTGTTTTGAGAATAGTGTAAAACACAATAAAACCTTGTTACATTCTTAGCTCTTTTTCTGGTTGACATAAACTGAAATTAGTTTTGTTACATGGCATGAGATTGTAAGCATATGAAGACAACATAAAAATTACATGTCACAGGAAAAGGACTCTGGACTACTGCCTTTTTTCACGTGTTCATAAGGACTACAGTCACTACAGTTATTCTTTTTCATATTTGACTGTATGTGACTAACATATACTGCTGTTTCAGTTAAATATAAGGTGGAATTAATGAATGAAATAAAACAACCTGAACTATAGATATGTAAGCGAAGGCTAAAATTCAAAATTGCGATTGCCAAATGCCATTTTTCTCCTGTACTCTTTGTGTTGCTCATTTCAAACTCTGAGAGGTCATTCACACAGAAATAGCTAAATTTATTTCTGTGTGAACTTGCCTCTTTTAGTATTCTTAATGCCTGCTTGAATAAAAATGGTTTAACCTGCTGGCTGTGTCTATGCATGTTGACCCAGGCTCTTCTCAGTGAGTAAGCTAAATAAGTCTGTTAAGAAACGAATGAGAATTTGAAGCAAATTTTGTCTTCAGTTCAGTGTGTTGTTGTTATCAATCAAGCAACAGCTGAGCCCTCGCCCTTCTGTCCAATGCCATGTAGTGACAAGTGCAGGTTTGTTGCAGTTGCTGTAATGTTCCATAGAGTGTGTTATCAATGTTAGGTCTCGGAGGGAGAAGTCGAGAAGTGTAGCTCTGATGTCATTTAGGGCTGTACAGTGGAAAAGATGATGATTCAGTCTCATATAGTCACTCAAAGGACACAGTGGGGGAAGTTTTGATTTCGTTCTGTTCTAGTTGAAGTTGATATATTCAGTGTGAGGTTTGTATTGTTTGCTATTGGTGCTGTGACTTTTAAAGCTGTATGACTTTCAATGTTTTGTTTTCTCTCTTTGTTTTTCCAGCTTGGAAGCAGTGTGCCAGTTCCCAGCATCTTTGTTCTTGCGACGTCCATTTGTGCCATTTTGATCCAACATTTTAGATAAAATCTGCTGCAAGTGCCTCTTTTTGGTTTTGGGAGGGAGAAAATTAAAATGGGCTGCTTTGAATTAGAATTTAAAAGCAAATTTGAATTTGGCAGTTGACTGGGAAAGTTTAGTCTGTTTTTCTAATGTTTTTTATGTTAAGGTAATTTAAGAAAGGAATGTCTTTTATTAATAAAAAAATTTTTTTGGTTAGGTCATTGGATTCGCAGCCAGTTAGGTTTGCATGGTATCATCTTTTTGCTTTGCAATTTTTCAAAATGAAATTGGTGACTGTTTAAAAGGGCAGACAAACATTTTTTTTCTTTTCTGTTCCTTTGAATAAGACAGAAATTAGAGTTTTTTGTGGGGTTTTTTTTTAAAGAATGTTTTAAAGATGATGACTGTTGACAGGAAATTTACTACTGTTAAGATAATATACTAATGCTGAAGCCATTGTAAATAACATTTCGGAAGTTTGTGTGGTGCAAGACAAATGCTGCAGAGGGAAAGTCCCTTGTGTGTGACTCAGATTTTGTGATGGTTGAGTATGGGGGTATGCATGGCACAAATGAAAAACTGTAGTCTTTTTTGGGGGATGAATGTTCAGGATTATCTGTGTACATAGCTGCTTGACATATGACAGTATTTTTTTGTGGAAGATAGTGTGTCAATGTCAAAGTGCATTCCTTTCCTTGTTAGAAGAAAAATTGGACAAAGTTTGCTCATGAATGACATTCCAATCATACCGTTGCTGTTTTATTCTAGATCAGTTTGTTCCATGTTTCAGGCAGTATGTAATGGTTGTGTCCCACTCGTTGAGTGTGGAAAGGGCAACTTCGTTTTTTATGATATCGTCGCACAATACCAGTGTCTGTTGTGTAATGGTCAGACTCTTTGCCTTGAGTGTAGACGAAGTTTGATTCCTATGTGGGGAAGATTTCTTTCTTAATGTCTTCCAAGGGAGATTTTATAAAATATATCTTTTTTCTTTTGTCTTATTCTGTTTTTTACTTCAACTGGGATGTATCCTACATGGAATGGGTTGGTCCTAACTGGTAGGGTTAAAGCTTCCTGTCTCCTGAATTGTGTGGAGAGGGGCATAAAACATTAAAAGAATATTGCAACTGAGTGTGAACTGAATGTAATTATAATAGAAGCATAGTTTTAGTTTGTTGTAAACTTTTTAGATGCTTTAATTTTCTTCAATGAAAAGGTTTGGGACTCAACCATAACTTATTGTTGTTTTTATTCGCTGCCTTAGGTGTATGCGAGACTGATGAATGAATGCTGCCTATGTACTTTGATGGATGAAAATGTTAGAATTACTTTTGTCACTTACTACTATGTACATAGCTCTTTCTTTATCATAACATTCCTCTGTCCATCTCAATAAAAATACTATTTTATACTGTACGAAAATATTAATTCTCTTTTTATTTTGTTTTTGTATAAATTGATTTCTCTTGGCTTGTTTATTTTTCCTAAGTATTGTGGGTCATCATAAAGGTGAGGGTTTGAGTACCGGATGACATGGATCACATTCAGAGAGAGATGAAATGGGGACAAGAAAACATCACTGGGGTATCCACTAGTACATTTAAGTCATTGTGCGAGTAGCAGCACCTTTTTTTGTTGGTCTGTGGCTTTAGTTTGTCCATATTTTTCCCAGCTTGGAATATGATTCTCTTTAACTTGGACATTGAGATGGTGAAGTTGGTAAAGTAGGTTTTGGATTTGGACTTCGAATCTCTTTGATAGTTGGATAAAAAAAAATGTTTGATAGTTTAATCTTTTCCTATCAAACATATATCACCGTTATGTCTCCTTTTCTTACTCTCTGGTAACACCTAAAATCTTCAGCACTGACAAGACCTAATTGTGTGGCTTGTGCCATAAATCTCTTACTAAAACTAAATAGAATAATATTTTTGCAGTGCTTTACTATTAAGGTACTAGGTGTGTGGTTGGTGGGTGCCCTCATGTGGTACATTCCTTCTTTCCTATCAAAAACATCTATCATCCTTATCTCCCCTCCTTTTTTGTGTTTGTTGCTCTCTTGTTGTAATTGGGTGGTTGGCTGGTGCTCTGGTGTGGTTTGCTCCTTCTTTCCTTTAAAAAATCTATCGTCTTTATCTCCCCTCCTTCTTTTTTTATGTTTGTTACTCTCTTGTAACACCTCTAGTCTTCGGCACTTATATGACCTTATTGTGTTGCAAAAGCCCTAAAACTCTTACGAAAACTAAAATTTATTTTTGTAACGCCTCTAATCTTCGACACTTATATGACCTATTGTGTTGCAAGAGCCGTAACACTTACTAAAACTAAACAATTTACTGTCTGGCTAAAAAGATTTAGATGAGAATCAGTTGATGTTGGAGTTTGGAACTTCAGTGGCTCAGTTTGTAAGTCCAAGGCATTCTAACTAAAACTGGTTGTTGGTTGTGCAGTGGGATATAATTTTTCGAGGAAATAATGATGGATTAGGTATACATTTGACAAGGTTGGGTGTACTGTCGTCATACGAGAGGTTTGATGCACAGTTTGTACAGGCATTGCCTGGCATGCTTTGCGCTGTTTGAAAGGTTGCTTTTTTTGTTACCCTTATAGTTATTGTCTCTATTTAAACAAAAAATAGCCTTAACTTTAACCAGAATGGCATGCTGAGGCCCTTAAACATGGACACAAGTATGGTGGGATCAAGTGACTTGTCTTCTTTGATAAGTTAGAAAAAAAATTCCTGTTGCAAGTTGTGCACATCAAAGAAAGCTTTACTAAAGACTGAGAAAGCTGTGATTAGCGTAACTGTATTGTTTAGACAACCTTTAAAAGTGTTGTGTGGCTGCTTGAGAGGTGAGACACACCACGCTTTCGTGAAATAGCGAAAACATGCCCCCCCCCCCCCAAAAAAAAAAAAAAAAAAATTTTTTTTAAATAAAGGAGAGAACAATTTGTGCAAGACTCATATACAAGTGTGAGACAGAAAATAATACATGTACAGTCGTCTTAATTTCCACAAAGTACTTTTCAATATTTGGTCGATTTTGCCAGCAAGTCGTGCTAGGTCCTATAAACTAGTCTGAAAATGTTTTGGTTAATAAAAAAGCATGAGGTAAACATAGAGAATTAACTGGATGCTTTAAGTACCGGTATTCATGAAGGATCATTTTTGCCTACCCTGAAGCCTGATATTTCCAAGTGAAAAAATATGTCCTCATGAAAATGAAATGTAAATTCATCCCCCCCCCCCCCCTCTAAAAACCCGAAACAAAACAAAAAAACAGTAACAAAAACCCAGCAGATGTCTTGACCTAAGTTACAACTGTTATTTTTTAAAGAGATATTATGATATATTATTATGGTTTGGTTTGACAAAGTTTTTGGTTAAAAAGACAGAATGCTGTAATGGTGCCAAATTAAGCAGTCACCACAATGACACAGAGAGGAGAATGAGAGAGATGGGGGAGGATGGGGTGGGGGGGGGGGGGGCAATCTTACCTTTAAAAAATGTGACACAGGTCAGGGTTTTAATAAATACAGCAAAACCCTATTAACACTAGAACTTCCTGGAACCAGAGACTTTCTTCACTTTAAGCAGGCTCCTCTCTAATTAGTCAAATTGCTCAGATCAAATGCTGGGCCCTGGGTAGCTATTTTAAAAATAATTACGAGCACAGCTGCCAAACTTTGGAATCTGGAAAAGAAGGAATCATTGTTTTCAATCTCAGACGATGCCTTGACAACACAGAATGAGGTTTACCAGAGGTTTAGATGTTTACATGACGATTTTCCACTCTACTAATCAGTTAAAGAACAGAAAACTAAACAAATAAGAAACACGGAATTGATGAATCAGAGTCATGCACATTATTAGAATAAAGTGGAACCCCCCCCCCCCAGAACAAAATGGAACGTTTCAATTAAATTAGGGACGGTTGGCAGCTTTCCAGCATCTCATCTCCTTGTCCCTCGAAACAAAACAACTCTCAAATCACCCTGAAAGTGTGTTGCGTGATGATTCTACAAATATTCTACACCACCACAATAGAAAAATTGGTAAATTTTGGTACCACTTGCTATGGTAGCAATTTGGGAAGGTAGCACATCATAAAAATAAACAAGTTGATCAGACAGGCATCAAGAACTATTGGTAGAGACCTAAGTAACCTTGAATATCTGCCCAAGACAAACGTTCTAAAAAAAAAAGCGGAAATAATGCCTAGTGACCATAGCCACCCACTGACCCTGGAATTTCAATTATCGACCCACAGTAAACGATACATTTCCAAAAAAGCAAAAACAGACAGATATAAGAAATTCAGTCGTACCAACTGCAATGAGGTTATTGAACCCACCGTGCTACAAACGAGAGAGAGAGAGAGAGAGAGAGAGAGAGAGAGAGAGAGAGAGAGAGAGAGAGAGAGAGAGAGAGAGAGCGGGTTGTTCCAGCACGTAAGACATGTATTTACTAATGTCCTGTCTTGTGCGTATGCGTGAGTGAACCTAACCTTTGTAACGTCTACTGCCATTGTTAACGACCAAGACAAATTTCTCCCTGCGAGATGAAAAAGGATTGTCATTGTCAAAGAGAAGGCTACTGTGAGCGTAAGAGTCAGTCATGGAGAAATGATGAAGAGATGACCCAAAGTTCCGTCAGTGGCCTAGTGGTTAGGCTCTCAGACTTGCAATCGTAAGGTTGTGGGTTCGAATCCCGCCAGGGGCCCGACGTTGTGTCCTTGGGAAAGGCACTTTACACTTACACGAATTTTCCTCACGTCACCCAGGTGGGAATGGGTACCCAGCTGTTGACAGTGAAAGATCTTGTCAGTTTGTTAAATGTTTGGAGCGCTTAATCGGCTGCTTGCACTGTATGTACGCTTCCCGGAAGCTGAGAATGTTTCTGAGTGTTCTATGGTTTTTGGGGATAATAATATAGTGTAAAGCGTATAGAGCTTGCTGTCGAGCGGGGATATGCGCTATACATACGCTATTAAAATGTATTATTTGTTATTATTAACCAAGTCTGTTATTTACTTATTCCTTTTTTTTCTAGTACAACTAAACTGTCCCGTGGTTTTATGCACCCCCCATAATTTAGCATAATTTGATCTCTTTTTTTTGGGGCGTAATTTCTGATTATTTTCCTTTATCATTCTTAGTTAAAATTAACAGAATCGCATAATTTCACATTTTTGGGCTCAGTTTGCACAATTTCAGATTTTTTTGGGGCATAAAACCGCGGGGACAGGTTAAAGTCAAGGGCGTCTCAGCCCTGGTTGGCCCTGACAGCCAGCCTCTTAAACGATCGAAACTGTGACGATATATATAATATAGATGGATTGTAACCTGTTGCAAATGACCCATTTCATTTAAGCTACTCATTACCTGATCTAATTCTGAAATGCGGCACATTCAACCTCATGCCCCTGTTTTAGTAGGAACAAATCTGTTTTATTTCTCCTTCAGAGAATAAAAGAACAAGAGATCCTGACATTTTAGTGATTTTAGCATGTTACTGTACTGTGACTGTGACAACTTTTCCATTGAGGAACAAACCAGTTTCATTAAAAAAATATAGATATAATGTTTCACATGATCGTCGGTCGTGGGAAGGTGGAAAATAATTTTTTAAAAAGGGGGGGGGGGGGGGGGGGGGCTAAAAAAACCTGAAAATTATTAAGCGGGGGGAGCTTAATCGATACCTTAGAGTACAAATTTTAGGGAAACAGCACACACATGAAATACTACTACCTGTATGTAGGGAACGTTGGCGGTGCTCAGGCATCCAGTATCCAGGTCATCTCCTGCCTACACCGCGAAGCAAGGAAAAACCTCAACCCATGACTCAATAAGTTTGCTTCCAAAGCAAGGCGGGAAATGTCGTAACCGTTATGACATTGATTACAATCATTTCCAGTACGTGGGGATCACAGACTTGAGTTATGATAATATCCAAGATCGAACACTATTTTGGCTGCCGCTTTTTTTTTTCTGTGAAAAATTATGCATCGTTGGTGCACATCATGGGCACTCAAATGAGGGACAAAACATCAGTCTGACTATATAGTAAAATGCTTTCGCAACATTCCCCTCCTTACTCTTCATTTGGTTCCAAATTGAAGCAAATGATGGGTGCAATGGTGAACCGGAATTACGTCAGAGTTCACAGTTTTGGATATCATAATACATGATTAGTCTACGGTGTGGATAAACTTTATCACGTGATTAGTTCGTACAGTTCTCGAGTACACCTTTTGTCTCTCCATGCGAGGTGGTTATTCAGGGGGACTGAATAATTCAAGGGGTGTAATATGGTAATTTCCGCTTTTCACTGTCGGGTGATCTCTGTCACAGAGCGATATCATGGTGGGAGCTTTTGGGGGTTCTTGTATGACTATGATGACCGTGGTGAGAGAGTGAGT